ATAAATATATTTATTGTTTGCAGAACCGCTTTTATATTTAGTAAGCAAGTGAGCAGTTAACATCTGAAATTGCATGAGATCTTCGGAGGGTGTTGTAGAGCAGATTTAAAAGAGTAGTGGCAGCACTGAGTGGCAGGCCAAAATAAAGAAGGAGTACACTGCAGAATAAATGTTTCACCCAGCCCCAATCCAGCAGCCAAGAAGTGAGCCAATCCCACATGGACTGGTTGACCAGCTGCTGTTTTTGGAAATGTTCCCTGTCCCTAGTGATGGAGGGAACATTTCTAGCTAACTTCTGTTGTGCAGTTAACTCTTCCTGGGTATAACTGACATGTTTTCCAAATGGATGGAAGCTGTTCCTTGTAACGTCCATGCAGTAACCATTATAACTAAACAATTATACATGGAGGTCTCTAAGAGAATGGCTTGTTTTCTGTAAGCTGAAGAATTAGCTGAAAGTCACAAAAGAGCTGGGATAAAAAGAGCAGCTGGATGAATCCTGAGACAGCTAACCTGAGTAACACCACAAGACTGAGGCCACAGATGTACTGCCAAAACACCTGCTTATGAAGAAACCCATCATGCTCTAAGAAGACTTCCTCTACTGTAGGAGAGATCAAGTGTGAGTATTAATAGAAGCTACTACTACTAAGTAATAATCTCTTTGGACTATTGTAAAGCCCTCTACATGTGACACCTTTGCAGTGGCTGCCAGTAGACTTCCAGGTGCAATTCATGGTGGTGGTTATCACCTAGAAAGCCCTTCCTGGCATAGGGCCTGGTTGTCTGAGGCACCACCTATCCCACAAATCCTGCCTCACACGTTCTGACAGATGTTCTGTGTCCCATTGATTAAACAATGCCTGTAACTTAAGGTTGTTCACAATCAGCACTCTCAAAAGCGTTTCTTGCTATCAATGCAGACAATACATTTTGTTGTCATTCAGGATAGCAAGGAATCAGGTAAGCATCTGAAAAGATGTTGGTATCAGTATGACAAAGGATGAAATATGCTAAGATCACTAATGAGGATATGCTATAATGAAGAGTATGGTTTTAATCTTAGACCTCACCATGCTCAGCATTCCTTAAATTTAGTTAGACTTCACTTGGTGGTCTGCTGACTTTGCAGTAATAATTTAAAATAAAAAAAAATACCTTCATTTATTAGCAGGTTTTGCAGGTTCCTGTTTGAGACGAGTAAACTTAAAAATCTATTCAGTGTAATTGTGACAGAAAAAATAGAGGAGGCATGTTTCAGCAGCAGTTTCCAAGTTGAAATGAAATGTGAAAATGCTTATGCAGACAGAATCAAAAGACTTGATTTGACACTTAAAGATAAAAATGGCTTTCCCTTTTGCAGCACCATCAATGTATATTTTAAAGGCTATAATATAATTTAAGCCACACTTCTTTTTTTTATAAATTTGATTAAAAGTTTTAAAAAGAAGATAAAAACTAACAAAAACTAATACAAAGTAAAGTAAGAAAAGAAAAGAAAAAAAGAAAGGAAAGGAAAGGAAAGGACAAAGGTACAAAAAGAAAAGATAAAAAGAAAGAAGAAGCTTCCGATTTCCTTTGCAGCAAATACAAGTATAATTACAAAATTATCTCTTACTCTATGGTTAAAAAAAAAGCTCTTTTTTCTATTATCTAATATTTTCTAATCATCAAAACCACAAATAAAAAGTTTCTTCTATTTCATGCAAAAAGTCTATAAGGGGTTTCCAGTCAGTAATAAATGTAAATGTTGTCTTTTCTCTGATCAAAGAGGTCAATTTAGCCATCTCTGCAAATTCCATCATCTTCACCAACCGTTCCTCCATTGTGGGTAATGCTGAACCTTTCCACTTTTGAGCATATAATAATCTCACAGCAGTTATCATATATAAGAAGAAAGTTCCGAAACTTTTTTCCAGCTGTTTATCCATCAGTCCCAAAAGAAAGGTCTCTGGTTTTAATTGTACATTAGTCTTTAAAATCTTCTGGATTAGTACATGTATTTGAGTCCACAATTTTCTGGCATTTTTACACATCCACCAAACATGATAGAATGTCCCTTCATGCTGTTCACATTTCCAGCACAAATTCAAAGTATCTTTATACATTCTAGATAGTTTCTCTGGTGTCATATACCAACAGTACATCATTTTATAAAAAAATTCTTTTAATGTATAATTAAGAGTGAACTTTAACCCTTTATTCCACATATTTTCCCACTGGACCAGCATTATGTTATATCCGAT